TGTCTGGGTTGAGTATCTTTTACCAAAGATGCACACTAGCACATTTAAAGTTAATGTGATAGATTTCTATGTTTCTTATAGATTATCCAAATCTAATTGTTTGTTTTTATGAAAGCATTGATCTATAAACAGAACGTCTATAGATTTCCTTTGGAGGTTTTGAAGCATCTGTATTTTAAGAAACACGTAGACAATAGGAACTTCCAAGCCATGAAATTGTAGCTTTTGCATTTGTATGATATTTCAAATGTATTTAAATAGTAATTTATCCAATATGTGTGAACAGAACCGAAGAGTCTCCTTTGCCAATCCAATCTACCAAGAAGAATTGGCAGATGACATTGACCGGCGAAGTCCTATACTTAGAATTCATCCTTGCAATAATGGCTCTCAATCTTCACGAAGTGCTAAATCTTCATCTAGTCATCAAGCCAAGGTACCCAGCTTATTCTTAGGTTTTTTTTTCCTTAGAAAATAACATCAGTGATGCAGGAGCTTTATAACAAATTAATCTGTAGAAAAGCCATACCTTGGATTTTGAGTATCCTCCGCATTAGCAAAAATACCATCCCCGCCCTCTATACACCAGGGTTTTTCTACTGCAGATCCAATTTGGCCAGTTACTTTATGCAAGACCTCCAGAACACTATACAGCATAATACAGGAAAATGTTTAGTTGAAAAGCAAACATACTACCTATGTATATACAAAAAGGCATTTTTTTTCATGTAGGGTATGTTGACTCTGAAATTAAATTTTAAGTTACATCTGGTTGGTGTGAAAAGACATAATGTGTTGATTTTCCTATTGCTATTACATGGATGTCAATTTGAATGAAGGTTCTTTTCTGTTGATGTGACTTAGGCATCCATCCCTTGCTTTTTAAATTAGACATTATGGTCACTCCGTTATATTGTTATCCTTGATTGATTTTCATGTGCAGCTGCTCTTTCTACAATTTGGTCATGGAAGGAACCCGATGCCTGGTAGGTGAAACCTATACAGCTATAGCAATCAAAGCTTAGTGACATATTCCTTCTCTGTTCCAGTTAATGGAAGAATTAACCTATTCTGTGGATGCCTTAAGTCATTTCAACAATAAGGAATCTTCATTGTGAGCATTTGTTTTTTTCTAGCTGAGCTAGTTTGTTTAAGAAGTATTAACTGCTTCTGAAAGAATGCTCTTGTTGAATTGGCCTTTTTCTTAAATAAAGGACCCCATTTTAATTGTTTTACTTTAAAAATGAATCACAGGATTATAGATGATTCCTATGATCTTGAGCAGCATTTTTTCCTCTTTTCCTATCCAGCTTATAACCACTCCAACCAAAGGATCTCTGTCCCCTGGAACCCGTAGCCATAAATATAAGAGCTCAAAGAAGTGTTTAGTAAGATTTGTATCCCTTTTATGTACCTCATCTCAATTTCTCCCATGCTCAGTTCTTAAACTTATCCAAATTCATGATTTTCTGTATTACTTAAGATCACAGAAATGGGCAAGGAGTCAACATCACCAGTACCTACAGAAAGCGTCTATCCTGCCCTGATGGGCTGTAAAGCATCTGTTGATATAATTCTGCCTCAGATTACTTCAAATACTTGGTAAGTAGGAAGACATTGAATTTTCATTGTCCTCAAAAAGTTGACGTGTTTATTTATTTAGTCTGTGCTCCTAACAGGTAAAATAATATATTCATTTGAAGTTAATTACTAGCTGCATAAAAGGAGCAAGCACCAGATGACAGGAATCTACATTTGAAGGGTGCATTGCATTGCTGATAGATTCAGGGTAATTGTTAAATTATATATATGAAAATGTTCATAATAATATAAAGTTGTACTTTTTTCAGTATATTGAATCTCAGTGTATTAAACTCACTCATTTTTCTGTAAAGTTATATTGTTGTGTACCATGTTGAAAATACAGCTGAAGAATATACATTTTGGATAGATAGAAATGTATATAATTAGTGTGTCCCATTCTTGTTTATATTAGCAAAAAATTCAAATGGTGCCATATGAGGGTTTTAAAAAAAAGATTGCTCTGTACAGTGTGAATATTTCCTAATCTAAAATTCATTCTGATTGATACAAAATTATTTTAGCCCAGAAGATTTTCTTTGAAATTGGAAATAGAAGATAAAAGGATATGCAAACTATATACCCTTTTTGGACATATAGTTTGAGCAGAACTATTGTGACCTTGAACTTCTCATTTCAGGATAGTAATTTAGTGTTGTTTATTTTTGCAAAAGTTTCCTATAAAAGGAGATTGGGAAAAACATGCTACCTTAATATATAAATAAATTTATAATCTGTATTGGGTTAGAACCTGCATTGAATTTTAAAAAAACTTTTTAGATGGTAAGGTTATATTTTCCGTGGTACATTAGATTAAAACTCCTTCTTTTATGTACCTTTAGGACAAGAGGGTTAGGGCATCTGATTCGAGCAAAGAATATCAGGACGGTGGGTGACTTGAGTTCTCTCACCGCAGCCGAGATCAAAACACTTCCAATCCGTTCTCCTAGAGTTTTAAATGTTAGAAAGGTTCTTAAAGGCTATCATGAGCAACAGGTAAGTAAGCTTACTTGCACTTTTAAAGTAAAAAAAGCAAAAATGGAAGAGTTGCCTTAATAAAAGTTGGTTCTCCACAGAGAAGAGCAGTGGGAGAAATAAATTATTTAAATAATCTGGAACTTGTAGTTTGTGGATGGAGGGAAAAAAGTACGGAGGACATCTTTGCTTCTGGTTTTTCTAACATCCCTTCATTATACTGAATAGCAATATAGTGAAAGACATAAATTTGGAATACGTTCCATACCCCTCAGCTGTTTATTATTATGTAGCAAAAAAAAAGTATTTCCACCTAGTGGTTCAATTCAGCCAGTTCTATCCGGTTCGGGTGAACCAGTAGTGGTGGTGGTAGGAGGCTCCACCCACCTGGCCAGAAATCATCACATCCCATTTTTCACACTCTGCATGCATGGAAGGTCCTGCGCATGTGTGGAGGTGGCACGTGCACTCCCATTTACGAACTGGTAGCAAAAGTAACTTGATTTCACCCGTGCTTTCACCCACCTGATAATGGCACAAGATCAAATAATTTTAAACTCCATGTTCTTTATCCCATAATCCTGTTTAATTTCCCTTTCCCTCTTCTTACATTCACCCTCAAGCCTGTGTTTGTGAGCTATTTTATTTTAATCATATTCCTTTACCTGAAATATTTTGGGTGGGCTTAATCAATTTTAAGGAGTTCTACAGGGCTGTTAACAGGTATTCAGATAACAATCCAAGTAGTCTCCTTAAATACCTGGGAACCAGAGTGAAAACAAACTGCTAATATTTCTGAATTCAACTCTTCTAATGGTCTCTGAATTCACACAATATACGCCTTTTGCCTTTTGTTTCTGTTAATAGCAATAGCATTTAGGCTTATACACTGCCTCCATAATGCTTTAGAGTATTCTCTGGGTGGTTTATGATGTAGAAACATTACTTGCATATTGCTCCCAACAATCCCGGTCCTCAATTTACTGACCTTGGAGGGATAGAAAGCTACGTCAACCTTAAGTCCCATCAGGACTGAACACCAGGCTATGGGCCAGAGTTTGCTTGCAATACTGCACTTTAACCACTACATACCTGTCAACTTGGGGAACTGCCACTTTGATTTCAGGAACTAACGATATGTGTGAAGGCTGTGCTTAGGAAAATGTATGGTATGACAGAAATCAGGTTCCAAGCATTGTTGTTAAGCATCGGAAAAGTTCTGAGCAGAACTACAAATGCAGAAAATGCTTGTATGATTTTACAGCGGCCCACTCAAGGAACCACTCTTTTATCTTTTTCATCATCAGATTAAACTATTTATTCCTCTCTCTCTCTCTCTCTCTCTCTCTCTCTCTCTTTCCCCCCCCCCCCCCCTTTAATACATGCAGGTAAAATCTCGTGGAATGGAGGAAAATACTGGCCTGGACAATACAGAGAAATCAGAAATCCATGTCATGGATGACACATTTTTCTCATCAAATGAAAATGCAGGTAAAGTATCACTTAAAGACCACCTGTTTTGCTGTGTTTAATATAAAGCGTAAGAAAGCATGCTTCTAGGCCAGTGATGGCGAACCTTTTCGACGCCGAGTACCAAAAAGGGAGCACATGTGCACGTCACCAAGTGTCAAAAAGGGAGCATTTCGTGCGCATTCGCCTAGGCAGCGAGCAGGAAGAGTAGTTGCCCAGGGGGCATGCACGTGCTGAAAAATATAGTTCTGGTTTCTGATGCGTGCCGCCCAGTAAGTTTTCTGGTTAGCTGGCCAGAAGCGCATGCTTACGCTGGAAAATGGAAGACCAGCTCTTCGGGTTCCCAGCACCGCCGCATGCACAAAGGCCTGCTGATCGGCGCGTGCGCATGTGCTCCAGAAACCCAGAAGAGGAACGGTTGACACCACACGTGCCCGGCGGCATAGCTCCGCTTGCCACTTCGGGCATAAAATGCCATAGGTTCGCCTTCACGGTTCTAAGCAATTCAAATGCCAGATGAAACTGAGTGCCCGTGTACCTTGTGGCACTATCCTTGTTATTATTCTGTTACTCTGTTTCTTCTAGATAATTAATCTGGTTATATGATTCTTATATATGCTTAAATATGTATTCCTGCATTTATGGTTGGTATTTCTATGCTGCTTTATTCTGCAACAGTTTTGCATGGCATACAGCAGAACTAAAGGTCAAAAACTTCAGAAAAGTAGCATATGGACACTCAAGTTATGCCAAATTGGTTGCCATTTTCTTCTAACACATATTCACTTGACACGTGACCTTTGACTATTCCCAAGTACAGTAACATTTCATCTGCAAATAATAATAATAAAACTTTGTGATTGGCTGGTGGGACCTGTTTGCAGAGTATGTGTCAGTGTGTGAGATAGACCATAAAAAGAAAGGCTAATCGCTCCCAAATGCTAGTGTTTCAAACTAAGTTTTCATCTCTTTATCCTGCTGGCTAAATCTCTCCAGTTAGTGGGTGGATTTTCTGTAGTTACACAGTTACTCACAAGAACAAAGAGCCGAGGTGGCGCAGTGGTTAGGGTGCAGTACTGCAGGCCACTTGAGCTGACTGTTATCTACAATTCAGCGGTTCTAATCTCACCGGCTC